GGGTGGGACGGTTCACAAAATCCACGGTTCGGTTCGATTCACGGTTTTCGGTTCGGTATATGTTGATTGTTAGGAAAATCTATTATGTCTTGTACAGTCAGGTTAAAACTGAAAGAAAATAGCAGTCTGACATTTGATACATTATTGTGACAGTCTTAGGTTAAAAGTAGGTGAGATTCTGGCATTGCCAGAGAGGAAACAGTGCTAATTCCAACATGTGCTTCCCTCTAAATGCAAAGTGGTCCATACAGCAGACCTAGAAACTGCTGTTGGCTCGCTGATTTTTATCGGCTACGCTGCTTCGCTTCTTCTTCTTGTTTACTACTGGTGGTTGGCTTTGGGCGCAGTAGCGCCCCCTTCTGCTCTGGAGTGTAAACGCTTCCCTCTGAGAAAAAGGAGCAGCATGAACCGAACGCAACACACGCGAACCGAACCGAGACAGTCCAACCCAACGGTTCGGACGGTTTTCAGAAACCGTCCCATCCCTAGTGGTTACCAACCCGCCCAACGGCCAGAGGCGGTCGAGCGAAGGCCCCTGACCCGCTTACCTGCCCACGCCCAGGATCTTGTAGTAGTCCCTCTTGCGGGAGAGCTTGAGCATCTTCTGGGCTCGCTCCAGCCCCTCCCGGATCTCCCCGCTGTCCCCGTCGAACTCCCGGGCCTCCTGGTAGTCCTCCACCGCTGGGCACGCAAAACAGACAGAAGGAATGAAAGCGAAACGACTGAAACTGTCGGGTTTTTGTTTTTGTTTTGGTCTGCTTTGAGGCGGTTCGAGTCCAGAACTGCACGATTAAACAAACCACAATCGCCATTTTGACATTCTCTCTTAAGAAAAAACTGAAAGAAAGAAGCTCTTTATCTAACATTTTGAAAAATACAGACATTGAACATAAACCTACATGTAAATAGAGGCATATCAGTTCAAATATTCCAATAAACGGGACTCTGTTGAGCACGTGATGCTACCCAGGCAGACATAAAGTCAGCTGAGCCCCAGCTTTAACCCAGTACTGTTAAGTTCTGTTTTTTGGGGTTTTTTTTGTCATGCTTGTATGTTTTCAGTTGAAAAATATCTAAAATGATAGTAACTGTCTGTGTTGTTCTTCATATTCAAGCACGCAGATTCAAGACAGCCTTCATTTATAATATCGTGATCACAATATGGTCCACAACGATCGCACATTTGTCCATGTCTGTCTTTTTTCTACTTCCTGTGTTGGTCCCCGTTACCTTTCTCGTAGTCCTGCAGGAGGATGTAGGCTTCTGCTCGGTCCCGGAGGATGTTGGCGTTGCGGGGGTCTCTCTGGTGGGCCTCAGAGCACACGTCCACCGCCTCCTCCGCCTGCTTGAGCTGTGGATGCCAATAAAGCAGGAGCGGTCAGAGGCCGGAGGAGGAGGCGTTTAACCGGGCCGTTTAAACGCGTTTCCTCACCTTCACCAGGCAGAAGCAGATCCTCTCCTTCGCCAGGTTGGTGTAGAACAGAACATTAGGCTCCGTCTTCATGGCCGCCTCGTACTTCTCGATGGCCTCTTGGTGCCTGGGGGAGACGACAGGAACGGGGGAAGAATTCCAGGTCGCTCGGAATAAAAAAAAAAAGCCAGGCTCCGGGCCGAGCTTCCTCACCTGCCCTCCTGGATCAGCTCCTCGGCCGAGTCCAGCTGCTTGCTGAGCTTCTTCACCTGCTTGTAGTGGCCCAGGCACTCTTTGTCGTCCTGATCCAGCTTCAGACACTCTCTCACGTGGCTGTAAAAGCGGGAAAACGTGAGTCGGGAAGGAGCCGGATAGGAGACTGTGGCTGGACGTGGGGGACCCATCTGGTTTTGACCCCCATCCCGTCCGCCCCGGCTCTCCTCTTTTGGGCCGAATCCCAAATCCTCCAGCTCCCATCTTTGTTCTGACATGGACCCGGGAACGTTTGGGGGCCTGAACGTGCTGAACGCTCGTATCCCAAACCTAAGATAGTCTCCCGCTGACTAATCACTTTTCCTGGAAAAGGGTTCTTAGAGGAGCTCATGCCCAGATTGTGACGAGGCCGGTCGGAGAGGGGGGGGGGGGGTCAGGATGTGGCTTTAAAGGGTGATGCTCTCCCGGCAGGTGTCCCGGGAGAGCCTCACCCTCTAAAGACTCAAAACCGGCAAACCGGCAAAGCGGAGCTCCTCTGCACCGGGATTCCTACTGGAGACGGGCCAGATTCAGGATTTGGCTTTAGAGAGGAAGCCATCCAAACACGAGGATCAGAAACAGCCATTTAAATGTTATATTTCAAATGGTTGGGACTCAAATCAGCTGCTCCTATAAAATATCAACCGATAAACAAACGGGAAAAAAAGGCGGGTCGGAGGCTCACCTGAGGGACTCGCGGTGCTCGCCCAGGCTGTGGTGCAGCAGGCTGAGCTTCAGGAAGGCGGCGCGGTTGTCGTTGCGCAGCCGGGTGGTGGGCGCCAGGTCCTGGATGGCCTTCTGCGGGTCCCCCATCCGGATGAAGCACTCCGCGCGCAGCTCCCGCGACTCCGGGTCCCAGGGGGAGATCTGAGGACCGGACCGGACACTCAGATACCAGCAGGAGGAAAAAAAAAAAAAAGGAACCTATCCGAGCTACATTCAAACGGCCCGGCTGTAAAACGATAGTCCTGTTATCTGTAACGCCCCCCCCTCGGACCAGTACCGGATAATTAATTGTTTCCGTTGTATTTATTCTCTGAGTTTGAATAATATTTTATATTGTAAAATCTTTTATTTTGAAAAATGACCGGATTCTCTCGGTTACATCTCGGTCACTTGGGCGCCCAAAATTCAACCCGCAAGTTAGCTAAATGAGTAAGAAACAGACTCGTTTGGAAAGTTTCTTTTCAAAGGGGGAAAGGCCCAACGAAGAGACAGAGTAAGAGCCTCTGGCTTTCGATGAAAATGAAAGCTTTTAACCGACAATACCAGGAGTTCTACTTGAAATACGGGTTTCTGGCGACAGGTGATTCCCACAGACCGAGGTCACTTTACCTAAAACTCGCCAAGGCCCTCTAATGAGGCCATAAACCTTCAAAACTGCCTCGCTGAGCATCCGGGATTAAAAGACGAGCCCCTGGAGTATTTTGAAAGAGAAAAACACAGTGCTAAAAAGCCTGGGGACCCCTGGTTTGGACACTTGCCTCGATGGCCCGCTCCAGCACGGACACGGTGCTGCCGTAGTCCCCCTGGTGGTACGCGGCCTGGGCGTCCTCCTGCAGCTCCTCCAGCTCGTTGGCCCTCATCAGCTGCTCGTGGGCCTCTCGCTCGTCCGGGGACCGCTGCAGCTGCCCAGACAAACACACAAATAAACACACAAACGCACAGCGACTGGCCCTGTTGTTGCGGAAAAGCCAGCAGAGGACTCCTGCCCCGGCTTACCACGGCTTCAAAGTCCTCTCTGGCCTCCTGCGTGCTTCCCTGCTTCAGGAGGATGTTCCCCCTCTGCAGCCGGGCCTGAAAAAGAGACAGAACCATAATGAGGAGACGCCAGAAACAGGTGGAAACGGGCCTTCGGAAGGACGAGTGATTGGCTTAACTTACGGCCAGGAAGTCGGGCTTGAGCTCGATGGCCCGGCTCAGGTCCGGCAGGGCGGACTTGGACTTTCCCATGGCCAGAAACACAGCGGCGCGCTTGTAGAAGGTCAGGTAGTTCTTGGGGTCTCCATCTGAAAAACGCAAGAGTCCTTTAACAAACGCACCCAGACTATAAACAAAAAAAACGCATGCTAGAAAACGGGGCGAGCGTGCAGCCTCACCCACGGCCGAGTGGTAGTGGGACAGGGCTTCGGCCAGCTGACCCGCGGCCAGGAGTTTGCGGCCCATCTCCAGGTGGTGCTCGATCTCCACATGAGTCGCCCCCAAGACACCTGGAACACAAAAAAATAAACTAAAATGTATATCCGGAATTTATAGGACACGTGCATCTCGTTTCCTTGTGTGTTTTAGTATCCCAAATACATTTGTTTAAACAAAACCTTTGAGACCTGGCTTGAATACTCCATAAGCTCATATTTCACAGGGTGTGTAGGGGATGTCCTGAACACACCAGAACAAAAACCGAAACGATTCACAACACAGAAGAGAAACAAACTTGAAGTAAACACAAGAAACGAAAGGGAAAATTTTTTTAGATTGTATCTGCGTTTTCTGTAATGTGCTTTTGTGTTTTCCTTTTCTGGACGCGTCCCTGGTTGACTACACCTCGGACTGGTCCCTGAACGCACCTTTTAAAGGAGTCAAATGAGACTTCTGCCGGTTACACAGTTGTCACCTCACACTGGTAAAGTTTTGAAGCACACAAATCACATCTTCAAGGTTAAATACCGACACATTTGCAGCTGTGGTCGTCATATCGAGCTGGAAATGTGCAGGAGGAGCTGCGTTAACACGTAAAAGCGGTCTCACCGTCCAACTGGATGTCCAACAGCACACAGAGCAGAGACAAGGAGCAGAGCAACCCGCCGACTCCTGCCCGCCGACACGGCTCCATATCCGGATAAACTCCCTCCGACGAAACTATCAGGACTTCACGGCCCCGGCGTCGACTGAAAACGATGCCTCGCTTCGCCCGAAATCACCGCCTCCTCATCGTTTCTTCGCCTCTGACAGACGACAGGAACAGCTATGTCGGTCTATTTACGGTCCCGCGCGGACAGCGGTCCGTGTGGAAATGAGTCCCCCCGCTCAAAGGTTCCCCAACCCAAAATGGCGCCGCGACCTTTGCCCGGACCGGCAAAGCTACACTTTCCCTTTATATTTTTAAAGCGAAGCCTCGTCTCCCAACCAGCTGATAAAGGAATAAAACAGCTTTGTTTCTCGCTTTGGTGTCAAAGCCTCCGTCCCTATTCCGCCCCCCCCTCCTTTCTGTCCTACATTTCCGTGGTTGGTCCGCAACGTGCACATCCGCGTTCGTCCATGAACGTGGGCTGCTCTCATTGGAGAGATGAATTTACCCACCGATGGTCCTCCCACCGTGTCCCCGCGCGGATAAAACCCCCCAAAACCCGGGCAGCTCCTCTCTCATCTGAGTTACGTAACCAGGTCCTGTCAGAGAAGGAGACGTTTCACCCGGATGCTTCCTGGACCTGAAAGTCCTGTCCTTAGAAAAGGTTTTATCTCTGAGACCTGGAGAAAAAGTCCTTATCTATTTGTAGGTTTCTTGTTTCCACAATTCATCATCCAGTCTGTGAATGTTTTTCCTGATTCTTTTACTTAATTTAGATTTAATTAACTTACTTAATTCAATTAAATACTTCATTTAGGCTATCCTAGTTACAGCAGTGCGTAGATAGTGTTTTTTCTGTCTTTTTGACAAAAACACACAGCAGTGTTAAACATGAAACATTTTATTCTGTGCAGTTGTAAAAAACAAAAATCAAAACTGAAAGAAAACGATCATCAGTTCTCCGCCGTCTCTCACAGGAACCTGAAAAAAACTGTACAAAACATCACCAACAAAATCTGAATGGGTCCGCGCCGACCTCAGAAAACGGGAGTCATCTTACGACTGGATTTCTCAGAAAATCATCGACTTGCATAGCTATCTTGAAGGAATCGAGGGAAGCATAGAGTCCCCCGGCCTCAGTCCTCTTTGCGGCGCGTTGGGCTTATATACAGAACGATGGCGGAGGCCCCCAGAAAACAGCCGGCACACCTCAGCCAAAGGCCTCCCCCCCTGAGACGGGGGGAGGCAGGCCGAGAGGAGGTGGGAGGAGGGGGGACACACCAGAAACGCCCCCACACTCGGTCAGACGTAGGCGTTGCGACCGTAGGTGCTGGCGGCCGCGCTTCTGCTCGGCGCCGCTCCAGAATACACGGTTCCTCTGGGCTGATAGGGCAGCGGGCTGCAGGGGGGGGGGGCAGAAAACACACACATGGTGAGTCCTTCCCTTTAGGCCTCACATCAACAGGCCTCTTGACACTTTTACCTTAACTTGAACACAAAACCAATTAGCAAAGACAAGCAAATCCATCCCAGAAAGAGCTACAAAACAACTCTGAGATGGAGCAAAAACTCTAAATTAAATCATAAAACTGTCGAAAAAGCTTGATAATCACACAAGGTCTGTATCTGTTCCTATCATTCTACAGATAGCAGGTAAAAACAGACCTTAGTTTGTTATCTAATAAACAAATATGTACAAAAAAAGGTTAGTAAGAGAAGCAGAATGGCCACCAAGAAGCATCTAAATTAGACAAAAATGGGGGAAAACCTGTATGATGTGTGGCTCTTATGGTCCTGTTTCAGTATGTTTTGTCTCAGCCAATCAAAATGAGACATGTTATTCTTTATTTTTCCCCATTTTCTTTACACGTCTGTTCTGTTTGGGTCAGATTCTGTTCAATATTTCTGCTCCAATCACCCAAATATCTTCTAGTGAAAAAAATAATGGAGCGTTTACAATGGGATTAATTTATTTTTCCGTGTCAGTTCTGTCATTTGACCACTTGGTGGCGCCACACACCGAAATCCCAACAAGCATATGCTCCTGAGGGTGCCTACAGGCTCTCCCTACAGCGTCTATTTTCCCGGTATTCTCCACAGAAACACGTCAGTGTAGCTTTTCTCAGAGAAGTGATGCTTTGATTAATGGCTGTTAATCAACAACAGGTCTTAGTCGAACAGTAACCGGGTAACCGTGGCGTCTTCTGCTCCACGCCAATAAAAAACAAACCGAAACGGGGGGGCCAAGAGGTTCACTGTAACTCACTATTTTTCCTCGGTGGCCATTTTGCAGGAGCAGGTGAGGCAGGACCCCCCGGCGATGGCCAGCACCCCCGAGCACCAGCCGATGTAGAGCCCCTCTCCGATCTCGTACCTGAGACGGAGAGCAGAGTTCTGGTTGGTCAACGGCTCCCCCGTTTGCCCCCGTTTGCCCCCGTTTGCCCCCCACCCCCTTTTACCTCACCTTATCCCGGGATGGAACGGGTCAAAGAAATCCTGCGTGATGTTGAAGGCGTACCAGGACACCGACACCATCGTGCAAATGCCTGGTAGAAGGATACAAAGGCCGTTAGCGGAACGGGTTCAAAACACGAGAAATTTTTGGAGAGCCATCTGAGTCTGAGTCTGAGCCTGTCCAAGTGAGTAAGAAATAGACATTTATTAAAAGGGAAAACTTCATGAAGTGAGACCAACCAGTGGTTCATACAACGTACAAAGCTGCTATCAAGTAAAACAAATCATAAGGGAATTTTATACCCCTCCCTGACTCTGAGGTAAGGAGTAAAGTATTTCTCTCATCAAAGAGAAATTTGCACATGTACCAAACAATCCTCCAGACAAAACATTAAGAGATAACCTATAAGGAGACCTTCACTGAGACCCTGAAAGAGAAAGGAGTCCCATGAGAAAGAAAAAGAACCTTCAGAAAATATGCTAGTGGAAACTTCCCTAGAGAAGTGAAGAAAGTGACTATACATATATTGATTTCCCTCACAGGCTGATATCAGCCTGCCATAAAACGTTCAGATTTATTGCTCTGCCGAGCAACTTCCTCTATCTTCTCTGTAATATATCAAAGATATCTTCGTTTTTTGGGGGGTGTTTTCCTACCTTGGAGTATGAAGAGGACCCCGGCGGTGCCGGCGATCCTCCCTTTGAGCATGTAGTTCTCCCCCCCGGCTTTGGAGCACTGGACTCCGATCAGCGCCGCCACCAGCCCGAAGGTCCCCAGCACGATGGAGGCGATCATCAGGGCGCGGGAGGCCTGAACGTAACCTAAGGCCAGACACCCAGAAAGCAACCGGAATCATATCCCGAACCGGGGAAATTCATATCAAAGAAATCCCGACGTCAGGCCCCGGGTCCTAGGATCCGAGAGTCTGAGAATCTGAGGGTCTGGAGATCTGAGGGTCTGAGGGTCTGGGGGTCTGAGGGGTCTGGGGATCTGAGGGTCTGGGGGTCTGAGGGTCTGTGGGTCTGAGGGTCTGAGGGTCTGGATGTAACCTACGGCCAGACACCCAAAAAGCAACCAGAATCATATCCCAAACGAGGAGATTCGTATCTAAGAAATGACTATGTCCGCCCCCGGGTCTGACGGTCTGAGGGTCTGGGGATCTGAGGGGTCTGAGGGTCTGAGAGTCTGAGGGTCTAGGGATCTGGGTATCTAAGGGTCTGAGGGTCTGAGGGTCTGGGGGTCTGAGGGTCTGGATGTAACCTACGGCCAGACACCCGAAAAGCAACCGGAATCATATCCCAAAACGGGGAGATTCGTATCTAAGAAATCCAGAGTCTGAGGGTCTGAGGGTCTGAGGGTCTGAGGGTCTAGGGGTCTGGGGATCTGAGGGTCTGGAGATCTGAGGGTCTGAAGGTCTGGGGGTCTGAGGGTCTGGGGACCTTAGAGTCTGGATGTAACCTACGGCCAGACACCCAAAAAGAAACCAGAATCATATCCCAAACGGGGAGATTTTTATCTAAGAAATCCCGAGTCTGAGGGTCTGAGGGTCTTAGGGTCTGGGTATCTAAAGGTCTGGGTATCTAAAGGTCTGGGTATATAAGGGTCTAAGGGTCTGAGGGTCCGAGGGTCTAAGGGTCTGAGGGTTTTTCCTACCGCTGAGGGCCAGCAGGGACGGGAACTCGCGGCAGTTGTGCACGCCGGTGGAGTCGGTGGCGCAGGACATCCAGAGGTTCTCGTAGATGGTGGAGGTGGTGATGACGTTCCCGTCCACCGTGGAGGTCTTCCAGTAGCGGTTGGGCAGCGCCACCCCCACCAAAACCCAGCCCAGGAAGCCCAGGATCAGGGCCACCACTTCCACGATGGGATCCATGAGTCCGGGTCCGGGTCCCAGTAGTTTTAGAGTAGTAGAGTGTGAGATGCATCCACCTCCCGGGATATTATGTATAATGATTTCTATGTCTCTCCTCCCCTTATCCTCTGCCCCTCTCTCTCTCTCCCTATCTCTCTCTCTCTTTCTCTCTATGTCTCTCCTTCAGGCTTTTTTTCTCGTTGCCTTTTTACACCCCTGAAACCGAACAGGTGTTTATCGGCTCGGTCTCAGGGTCCAACGGTCACCTGTCGTCCAGTGTTTTCCGTTTCAAACTATCACAGGCTCTGAAAACATCCTGGATAAAAAGGCGTGGCCACGATGACCGGCTAAAACGGAGTCAAAACAGTCCAAGACAAGCAACTTTAGTGATGATTTTTTTAGTTTTTCCCGAAAAGATTTACAGGAAATGCAAGTTTTATACAAAAATGGCTTCCTAATTGAATTAATTTACAGTGGGGGAAATAAGTATTTGACCCCTTGCTGATTTTGCAGGTTTGCCCACTTACAAAGAATGC